ACACTCTTGTGGGACACTCTTGTAGGACACTCTTGTGGGTCACTCTTACGAGACACTCTTGTACGACACTCTTGTGGGACACTCCGGTGGGTCACTGTTGTGGGACACTCTTGGCGCTCACACTCTTGTAGGACACGCTTGTGGGTCACTCTTACAGAACACTCTTCTGCGACACTCTTGTAGGACACTCTTGTGGGTCACTCTTACGGGACAATCTTGTAGGAAACTCTTGTGGGACACTCTTGTTGTGGGACGCTCTTGTTGTGGAACACTCTTGTTGTGGGACACTCTTCTAGGACGCTCTTGTGGGACGCTCTTGTCGCTCACCAGCGACACGCCGCATTTACACCAGCATGTTTCGCGCTCCCCACGTGGCACGGCGCGTCGCAAACACACTTTCCACCAAGGCCGCGCAAATCCGCATGGCAACGCGACATCACGGAAGTAATTTCGCCACACGGTCCGCCACCCACTAGAGGCAAACATATATCACATGATATTAGCTCCCCAGTGGCACGGCGCCACGCAAACGCACTTCACTGCGACATCACGAACGTAATTTCGCCACACGGTCTGCCCGGCTGCCCACACACTAGAAGCAAACATATCACATGACACCACCAATCAGCCCGCTCACCAGCGACACGCCACGTTTACACCAGCAACGCACTTTCCACCAAGGCCGCGCAAATCCGCATGGCACTGTGACATCACGAACGTAATTTCGCCACACTGTCGACCGCACACTAGAAGCAAACCTATATCACATGATACCACCATTCATCCCACTCACCAGCGACACGCCGCGTCTACGCCAGCATGTTTCGCGCTCCCCAGTGGCACAGCGCCACGCAAACGCAGGCCGTGCAAATCCGCAGGGCAAAGGCGAGGCTTCGAGGAGACTTCCTCCAAAAGTCCCACGTCAAGTCTCCAAAACGAGCGTTTCTTACGAGACTTCCTCCAAAAGCCAAGCGGAAACACCCATCGGAGCGCACACATCAAGCAGCCCTGCCAAGCAGTTTCACACCCGCTCACGCCAATCCCAATGTCACAGCGACATTCACCTCTACCAACTGCCACAACTCACAACCTCACGATTCCCTGCGCCTGCTACGAAACTTTCCACGTCCACAGTCTAACGCGCGCAAAGTACTGCGCCTGCCACGAAATGTCACCTCCGTCACACCTCAACTTCACGATTCCCTGAGCCTGCCACGAAAATCGCTTCCATACTTCAAAACCAGCACAAAGTACTGCGCCTGCCACGAAAAGTGACAATATCATATCATGTGAGCTTCAACAAATTTTGGAATGATTTCGACCCGTTCTGAGCACACTCCTATTCACCAAAACCGGAATTTCAGCTGAGACTTGTCACAAAAACAGAGCCTTGATGCAACTCTCTGAAACGCAAATCCCAATGGCGCAGCCACATCCAACACCCCGTTAAAAAACACCACTCTCCAAAAACTAAACCCAATGGAACTGCGCAGAAACCTGCCGATCTCACAAAACGCTGCGCCTGCGCCGTGAAATCATCCTCCACACTTCAACATCTTGCATTTCCACAAGTTCCGCGCTATTTCACACGAATCTGACATGTCACGTTTCCATCCGAAACCCGCTCCAAAAGCTTCCCCCAACGGCAGCGCCTTGGCGCCCTACCGCGAACGGTTGCGGACGGTTGCGAGTGCTGAGACAACGCGTCGCGAACAAGGCTCTATGCCCCCAGAGTTAAACGAGAATCCTTCGCTACGCATTCGGGAAAAACAACACTTTTCGCCAATGACAGGATGCAGTCGCGTAACAAATAACCCGTGAAAAGTGAAAGCCGTCTTGAAAAAGCACTCTAAGGTGCATCTGCCATGTCTTGTTTTGTCCAGGGTCTTATCGCAAGAGCGTGTTTGTCGGGAGCGCCCTGTTTTGCACCAAGACAGCCTTCAAACAAAGCGTGAAAGGGCACCAACAAAAACTATACACTGTATTCCTTAAGCTCTTCTCAACACTTTCTCAGAGGAACGCGGTTCTTTGCCCCGAACAGGTTTCAAACTCAACACAGACGCGCCAACCCAAAAATGCGGTTTCAGGGAATGCTTCAACTTTCTGCATTTCTTTTCAAGAATGTCTTTGCATACCTGTACATTCCGTTTGCGCCAGAACAGCCCTCCCACTTTAAGGTCTGCTCCAGGAAACTTGGCGCAAGCGCCGCGTTTCTCAGAGATGCTCTTTTTTGCATTGAGATTGCCTTCGAAGACACCGCAAAGGGGCAACGCCCATCTCTCGCAGTGACCAAAAATCCTGCCACCATCAGAAACTCTACAGCGCGCTCCTGGTCACAAAAGCTTGGCGTGGGCCCGTGAAAATCTTTCATGCAATTGCCATCACACAGGCCCCCGGACCCTCGCTCCACCCCTCAACTTCTTGACCCCGGATGCGGGCTAAACATCTGCCAGGAACCAGGAAGCATTGACTCAACTCCAACAATAGCACAGCCGGGAGATCGGGCAATGCCCCCAACCGACACCACGCCAGGTTTTCGCGTCTCCATTGTTCATTTTGCTGGCGCAGCGACCCTATAGATCAGTTAAGGCAATTATGAAGGAATTAGATAACTTCCTCATTTTAGATAAAATCCTATCTATTAGTTAACTTTTGTTTTTATCCATTTTCATAACTAATAAATTAACTTATCTCTACTTTAGGATAACTCGATAGAGTTATCTCAGGTAACTCAATAGTTATCTGGGATAACTCATAAAGTTAACTTTTTATATAACAAAACAAATTCCGAAAAATGTTCGTTTTTAGTTCTAAAATAGACCTGCAGAAGTAATACCACAAAATGTGCAAAAGTAATGCCTTGCATGTGTGCTGCGCAAGTGCTTTTTTCAGATGTCCATCTGAAAGTGCATGCCCAATCTGTAATGCTGCACCATTTTGGCACACGCATAGTGTGGGTTCTCCCCAAAGATGCAATGCGCACACAGGGTCTTTTCTGCTGACATGTAGTCTTCCAGAGATTGCAGCTATGTGCAGCAGACAGTGTAGCGTGCTGGTGCAACAAAAGAGGGTAGGAGATCTTCCTCCTGCAAAAAAGTTCTGTAAAGCAGCTCTTGCAGGCGGCGCATCTGTTGACAAGCTCTGTAGAATTCTGAAGCTGCATCAGCAGGAAGGGCATCTTCTGACTTGTGTGCTTCAAGGAAAGGATCTGCCTGTGAGACAAAACCATTCAGTTCAAGTGCTCCTGCCACAGCTGGAGAAGAATTGGCAGGATGCCCTTGATCTCAATGCCTTTGCCTCTCAGCTTGACGGCGCCACTTTTTCTGCTGAACATGGAAAGTTCAAGGAACTTGTATCGGTGTAAGGTCCTTTGCTCCTTGTAAATCTGCTTAATCCTAGACCAAAGCCTTTGAATGTTGGCTTCTGGCTCTTGGTTCATGATCACATAGTAGAGGAGCCAAAGAACACTACCACACTGACATTGATCACTGCCCACATACTAAGACATATTGCAGCGAGAGAGGTGTTCCCATTCAAACAGCTGTGTCACTGAAATCAT